CATCCATTTTGGTCTTTTCTTCCTTTCTCATCTTTTTAATGACCTCTTGCTTTCTTCATGGATGATGTTCTTGATGTCATCCCTCAATTCTTCTGATTTGCAGTCATTGTTGTTCAATGCACCAAATCTATTCTTTAGATGGACTCTAAATTCAGGCGGGATGTATTCAAGATCATATTGTGGCTCTTGTGGACTTGTTTTAATTGTCTTCAACTTCAAGTTGAACTTGCATATGAGCAGTTGATGGTCTGTTCCACAATCAGCTTCTGGACATGTTTTAGCTGAAGATATTGAGCTTTTCCATTTCTTCTTTGCCACAGATGTAGTCAAGTTGATTCCTGTGTACTCCATCTGGCAAAGTCCACATGTAAAGCCATCGTTCGTGTTGTTGAAAAAAGGTATCTGCAATGAATAAGTCATTGGTCTTGCAAAATTCTATCATGTGATCTCCAGCATTATTTCTGTCACCAAGGCCAAATTTTCCCAACTACTGGTGATTCTTCTTTGTTTCCAACTTTTGCATTCCAATCACCAGTGATAAACAACACATCTTGATTGCATGTTCAGTCAATTTCAGACTGCAGAAGTTGATAAAAATGTTCAATTTCTTCATCTTTGGCTTTGGTGGTTGGTGCATAAATTTGAATAATAGTAGTATTAATGGGTCTTCCTTGTAGGCATATTATGATAGGATATTATCCTATCACTGACAGCACTGTACTTCAGGGCAGATCTTGAAACATCCTTTGTGATAATGAATACCATGACGTTCCTCTTCAATTTGTCATTCTCAGCATAGTAGATCATATGGTTGTCTGACTCCAAATGGCCAAAACCCATCCATTTCAGCTCACTAGTGCCTAGGATATCAATCTTTATGCACTTCATTTCATTTTTGACAACTTCCAATTTTCCTAGATTCATACTTCGTACATTCCATGTTCCATTATTAATCATGTTTGCAGCCGTTTCTCCTCAATTTGAGTCATGCCATGTCAGCACATGGAGGTCCTGAAAGACTTACTTTATTCATATCATTAAGGTTGGTTCTACTTTGATGCGGGAACTGTTTTCCAGTCCTATTTTGAGTGCCTTCCAACCCAAGGGCCTCGTCTTACTGCACTGTTGGAAAAGGTTTCTGATCTATTCATAAAGTTGCCCAGTAATGTATCAAACAGTGTTTCTCTGCTATTCATAAGGTTTACTCTGGCCAATTTTTGAGAAGTGGATGACTTCCTCCTTCTTCTTAGTCTGTCTTCATCTGTAAGCTGCACTGAAACCTGTGCACCATGTGCAACTCTGCTGGTGTCTGAAACACCAGTGGCAGAGCCTCAGGCCTCACAGCAACGTACAAGCCCCACAGGATGATAAACTGACAGACAAGTTTGTCTTCCTTAGCTGTTGGAAACCTCTGTGCCCTCCCCTTACCTAATTCCTACCTGGAACCTACCACTTTGTGGTCCCTGGCCACTCTCTTCCTTTCTTGGCTCTAGGGGGCTTGGGGCCTAGCCTTGCCTCCCGCCCCTTTTACCTGGATATCCTGCCGCTCCGCAGGTCTCCAGCCTCTCCTGCTCTCCTATTTTAGGGTTCTGTATATCACTGTAACATCTCACAGAACTCACAAACTCAGAAAGAAATGGTTCATGTAGTGGTGGAGGCTGGTAAGTCCCACATTTGTGGGTCAGGTGTCAAATCTGGAGGATCCTTCTCACTAACATAGTTGCAGGGGCTGATGAACCCAAATCAGCAGGTCAGATGACTGGCTGCTGTCTCAATTCCAAGAACTGGGGGTAAGGTGATGACTAACCAGATCCAAGATTCAGAGCAAGAGAGCAAATTTTACCAGGGCATTCACATATATAAAACCAAACCCACTGCCATAAAGTCAGTTCTGACTCACAGAAACCCTATAGGACAGAGCAGAACCACAGAGTTTCCAAGGCTGTAAATCTTTTACAGAAGCACATTGTTTCATCTTTCTCCCTCCAGGAAACTAAGGGTGGTGACTTGAGTCACCTTCCAGCAAGGTGGGACTCAGGATATATCCCACCCTAATCCTGCCTCATCAACAAAACAGACAACTGGAACCATAACCGTAGGCACAGAGGCTAGTATTATATATCTAAAAATTGAGACTACGGCTAACAGGGCCATATTAAGCAACTCATTGCACTACAACATGCTAGAGAAACACTGTACAGCGATGCAAAGTATGCACAAATACAAACAAGGGTACTCATTAGAACAATAGTTATAGTAGGGAGGGAAAAAAAAAAAAAGGCCAAATTCATTGGCAGGGATCTGGTTATTTTAATTATGATGCTTCTATACAAAGGAAGGAGCTCTGGTAGCATAGTGGCTAAGACACTTGCCTGCTAACCAGACGGCTGGCGGTTCAAACCCACCAGCCACTCCTCGGAAGGAAGGTTGGGCAATCCTACTTCCGTAGTGATACTGCCTCGGAAACCCAAGGAGGGGTCGCTATGAGTCGGGGCCGACTCGACGGCACATAACAACAACAACAACAACAACATACAAAGGACTCCCCTGAAGCTGTTTTTTAAAAAAGTTAGTCCTTTGTCAGTTGTAGAGAAACTCTAAAACTTAAGTGGAAAAAAAGCAAGTAGTATATATAAAGAGAAAGGCAGTATGTATAACATGTTATCATTTATGGTGTGTGTATCTGTGTGTTTTAAAGGACTTTACAGATTGCCTGTATATAGGCAGAAAAAAAAAATAGCTGGCAAAATACAGAAATAATCTAGGGAAAAGGACTGGGAAGAGGACACTAGCTTTCTACTCTTTGTGTACTGTTGGAGATTTTTTTTCAAACCTTGATGATGTGTAACTTTTGAAATATAAAAAAAGTATAAAAAAAGGGGGGGTAGACCAAAAATGTGTGTGACAACCCAGAGATAAACAAACAAAACAAAATTCTGACTAGCATAACAGGTTATAAAACGAAGTCAGGTCAAGAAACTTCCTTTGTGCTGAAGAAGTCCCCAAGAGGAAGGCAGTTAGAGGGTGATTTGAAAAGTGAACTAAGCCCTTTGTTGCTGGTGCAGGGTTTGAGTTATTCATTCATTTATTCAGACCAAAAACAAACTGAATGGTAAGCATTGCAGGACCAGGGATGAATCCAGTCAGTTTATCAGGCATCTATCTCCAGTCTATTTCTCTCACCCTACTCCAAGCTACCTTTATCTCTTTTCTAACTATTGCAGTTGATCTCTCTGATACTACTCCAGTTCATTCTCTCACAACAACCAAAGTGATCTCAGTAAAATAGAGATCTGCCCATGGCACTCTCCTGCTTAAGACCCTTGATGGTCCTCCTACTGTCCTCAGAATAAAGTCAAGTTTCCTAATGTGGCCTGCAAAACCGTTTATAATCTGGTCCTAGCCTACCAGTCTCATTTCTTCCCCTTCAAATCCATCCTGAATTTCTTTCCTCTCATCTACAGTGCTCTCACACAGCTGTTGTACATCCAGGTCACGCTCCATGGAGTGCCGTTATTCCTCCTCTCCAGGCTTACTTGTACACTTTTACTCTCTCTCTCTTTTTAATGAATTTTTTTAAGCAAAATTTACATACAGTAAAATTCATACTTTATACTGTCATGTAACCACCACCACAATCAAGATCTAGGGCAGTTCCATCATCCCAAGAAATTTTCTCTTGACCCTTTGTGGCCAACCCTGTCCCTCATCCCTAGCTCCTGGCAACCACTGATCATTTCACTTGCAAAAATACCTAGGAGTGGGATTGCTGTATGTGCATGTTGTTGTCGCTGTTGTTATGTGCCATGGAGTCAGACCTGACTCATAGTGACCCCCTCCTTGGGTTTCTGAGGCAGTATCACTACTGAAGTAGATTGCCCCATCTTCCTTCCGAGGGGTGGCTGGTGGGTTTGAACCGCCAGCCTTCTGGTTAGCAGTCAAGTGCCTTAGGCACTATGCTATCAGAGCTCCTTATAACTATGTAAGGATGGCAAAAAGGCCATCATTGAAGTGAAAGAAGGATTCATTAATATTCCTGCTTTAGGATTTCCTTATTATAACTTGGATTTTTCACTTTTTGGCATAGAGCAAGAAAAAGGAAAGCACAGGAAGTGTGTCAATAGGAGGGAATGGGCAGCAGCATCTGAGAGGTCATTCTTTAGGACTGGAGACCTTGACTTGGCCAGTGTCCACTGAGCTGTCAGCACTGTCCACAGCGCATACAGCAATTTCACTTCCAGGTATTTTCCCAGGAAGCCTCCGCTCACCCAATAGATTTATTAAGTTCCTAAATTCCAGTCCTTTGTAGTTTCATAATGTCCAACACTTATCTCCATCTTACCCTTACCCTACTAAACTGTAGTTTATTGTTCTTGACCACAACCCTAATCTCTTACACACTCCAATCTTTTTATCTTTCACACACACACACACATACACACGCGCGCGCGCGTGCACGCCTCTGAGCAGAAGCAGCATTTTACTTCCCTTGTATCTCCAGCTCCCAGTCGACCTAAAACAACTTTTTTTCCCAAAATAAATATTAAGTAACTGCTGAACAAGTCAAAGAATGAATGAAAGGGCGGAAGGAAGTAGTTAGGAAACAAGGTTTTGCTAGTAGACTGGCCTGGCTATGCAATTTACCGTCCTTCCACCTCCACCGTCCTTCATACTTTCTAAATTCACCCTAAAGAGCGTTACGCTGATGATGTTAGTGTAGATGACAAAGACAAGCCCGGTGACGCTTTCTGAGAGGGAGGGGAGGAGAAAGCAAAGGGACAGGAAGCGGAAGTGCAGACTGAAGTTAGCCGTGGCTCCGTTGCCATGGAGACCAAGAGCTCCAAAGAGCAGCGAGCTGCAGAGTCCGAGTCCTACTTGTCCCAGAGGGCAACGTGGGGGCCAACCACGAATCTGACTCGGTCCTGCAGCCCCAGCCAGTCTACCTGGAAATCTTCCTTGCTGTCCTTCGAGGGCTTTCACTGCAGCACTGGCGGGAGACCCCGCCGCGTCACGCCACTTGGGCTCACTCCGCTAGCAGAGCCGCAGCTGCTCGGTCTACGCCCCACCTCGCTCCGTACCCAAGACATCTCGTTCTTGCTCACCAGCGTCTTCCGCAACCTATACTCGGCTGAGGTGATTGGCGAGGACGTGTGCACAAGCCTGATCCAGGCCCGTGGAAGCCAGGATGCGCGTCATGAGCAGTTTGTGGACTCGCTGCAGCAGGTAACGTGGCACCGGCTTCGTGCGCTCTTCCTTCCCGCTCCCTCCTGGCACACAACGGTGTCCAGTCTGCGAACAGTGCAGGGGAGCCAGGGTGTATCTGGAGGAAGGCGTAGGCTGACCAGACTCAGCCCCTCCACTCTTGGCAGCAGCTGCCGTTTGCCAGACTCTGTGGAGAAGACCCAACGAAGTCCGTGCCGACATAGAGCTGACATTCTAACGGGAGGACTCTGTCTATCCGCACAGTATAAAAATACACCAGTTCTGCATACATGGCATATGTCTATAGCATCTAGCTATCTATTTCTCTCCACACACACGTGATATATTACGATATTGCACATATATAAATAAAATGACTGGTCAGAGAGCTAAATAGCTGTTGTTCGCTTAATGTGATAAAGCCACAAGTCATCCCCTATTTGGGATGCCTTTGTGGTGGCATAGTGCCTAAGGCATTTGACTGCTAACCAGAAGGCTGGCGGTTCAAACCCACCAGCCACTCCTGGGTAGGAAGGTTGGGCAATCTACCTCCGGTAGTGATACCGCCTCGGAAACCCAAGAAGGGGCGGGGCCCCCCCTGTGGGTAGGACCCGACTCCACAGCAGTGAGCTTGGTTTGGTTTTTTGTATCACAAACTTGCCTAGATTTTCGGAAGCATGCTCAATTTATGAAACAGCGACCTACTTCCTCCTCTGTACAAGGGGGAAACCATCTGACTTGGGCCCCTCTGCTGAGTCTGACTCTGCTAATCAGATTGCTAACCACTCCCTTAAATTTAAGGTCACCCCTCCCCTTAACGACCATTTGTTTGCCTGTTGTACCTCTTGCCTCTCAGATCTATCTCGGTGTTCTCTTTGCCCCTCGACTTATCCCTTAATTGACAACATATGCTTCCTCCCCAGCTTCAATCATTCATTCAACAAATTTTATTTATTGTGTACTATGTGCCACATTCTGTTTTGGGCAGTGGGGATTCTGCAAAGCACAAAAACTGTATTGTTATCCTCTATAGCTTCCAATCTAAGTGGGAAGACAGGCATTAACAAAATGAGTATCTATATTGTATGTGAGACACTAATGTGGCAAGCCTCACCTTCTGGGTGGGTTTTGCTCAAGCCCACTGCCATCAAGTCGATTCCACTCATAGAGAACCTATAGGACAGAGTAAAATTGCCTTATAGGGTTTCCAAGGCTGTTAATCTTTATGGGCACAGACTGCCACATCTTTCTTATGCGGAGCAGCTCGTGTGTTCAAACTGCTGTCCTTTTGGTTAGCAGCCAAAAGCCTTAACTACTGCGCCACAGAGCTCCTTTCTGTGGGTAATTTGTTGTTGTTGTTATATGCCATCGAGTTGGCCCCAACTCATAGCGACCCCTCCTTGGGTTTCCGAGGCAGTTATCACTACAGAGGTAATAGGCTCTCTAAAATATAGTCAGAACTGCTGGATCAGACCCTGTGCTGCACTCTTCCTGAGCTACCACATTCACTCTGCTAAGACTTTAGCCAACTCAAGCTAGACCTTGTTGTTGAACTTCTGGCTCACATCCCTGTCATTCACATGACCCAGAATATGCAGAGCATTATAACTCTCATGACCAATCACCCAGTTTATTAATTTCTGTCTCCTTAATATCTGTTCCACCACTAGTCACTACACCAGGATCTGAACTGGCAAAGAGTGGTCCTTCTTTAAAAAAAAAGCTTTGCAATATTTAAAATAAAAAACAATTACTGCAAAAATTTTAGAATCCATAAAATTCTAAAAAAAAAATTCTAGAATCCTTAAAAGTTTAAAGAATTGTCCTACAGAAATACAGCTAGGCAAATATATGTTGACTTTATAAATATAGTATATCTACATTGTGGAATACTGTGCAGCTGTTAAAAAAGAATGAATTACACATATATTATAGACATAGACTGTTACCTGCTATTATTAATTTAGCTAAAATTGTAAAATCATGGTAAGATAATTTCACTTTATAGTAATATATGCATTAAAAAATATCTGAAAAAAATTTTTCCCTTGCATACTTCTGCATTGTCTGAACTTTTGCAGTGCACATGAATTCTGTAATTTCCAAAAAGAAACTTTAAAAAGAGCAAAAAAAAAAAACTCACTGCCATTGAGTTGGATCCGACTCATAGTGACTCCTCATTGGGTTTCCAAGGCAGTATCTCTATGGAAGTAGATTGCCCCATCTTCCTTGTGAGGAGTGCCTGGTGGGTTTGAACCGCCAGCCTTCTGGTTAGCAGTCTAGTGCCTGCCTCCAGGGATCCCTTAAAAAGAGCAGGCATCTGTTATTCCCACTTCTGTGATGCTGATGTTCTCATACTGATACTTTTCCCACCTCTCTCTTTTTCTCTTTTCCTTTTCTGCTTATCTGTCTCTGGATGAAGTAGACTCTGAAGGAACTGCCATATGATTGTCTCTACAGATCTAGAATTCATTCTCACCTTTCAATATGGAAGGTCTTAATCTGACTTCTCCACCAGGCAACCTCTGTGGCTGCTAGTCTGCCTCATGTCTGCCTATAGAAGTAGATCTAATGATTTAGAGTAAATGTTCTGGAACTATAAACTCTTGATTTGAATCCTGGCTCTTCCAAATACTACCTGTATAATCTTGGGTAATCTTTACTTCTGGAGGCCTTTTTTCTCATCTGTGAAATGAGGATAATAATATTTACCAATAGGTTGTTTTAAGGATTAAAAGCGTTTTTCAACGCCGAGCACCTGGCATCTAGCAAGCACTCACTAAGTGCTGGTTGGTGCTGTTGCTATTATTTTTATTTGCATGAGATGCTCATTTTTGCTTTCAAGAATTAGAGTCAGGAATTAATACTAGACCCAAATAGTAAGACATGTGACACAAAGCATAGTACCTCATGTTTCAGGAACTGTCCTTGGCTTGGCCACAGCACCCCCCCCCCAAGAAGATTTAGCCACCTTCTCCCAGCCTTCCTTATATCCTTATTCATATTGCTATCATAGCACTTTTAAGACTCTATTCAACTTATTTGTATCCTTTCCTGGCCCCTCCTGCTAAAATGTAAACTCCTTGGGAGCAGAAACCCTATCTGATTCATTTCTGTCCTCTAATGTAAATCTTCATTAAAAGAATGTCTAAAAGGTTTTTGACACCCTACCAGCTCTATAATATAATAAGGAACATTGTCCCCTTACACAAATCGTCTAATATTACCTGGCCCAGCTTTCTGCCTCTTCCTCTTAAGAAGTCTGAACTTGAAAACATGGATCAGACCTTTGACTGGCTGGTTGCTCTGTAATCAGTCTGGAGGAGTGGGGCTTCCAGGTTGAGCTCTGTGGAAGCAGACACTGTGACAGAGTGGGTACAAGATGTTTATTAGAGATCAACTCCTGTGAAGAGAATTATACCTACGTTGTAGACATAGACATGGGGTACGCCGACTTGGCCAGTGGAAGTTTAACTATACGATGCAGGCCCCACAAACCTTAGCAAATTCAGCAGGTTGCTCTGGAGGCAGTATTTCCTATTTGAGTTTCTGTCTTTGGGCCAAACTGGTCAGGCCTTTATCCTTTGCCTCTCTCGGACACTGGATGCAGGTGTCCTTGAAAGGACATGATTTCAGACAAGCCATTTCCAGCTGCTGAGGTAAACTCTGAATGGGCTGATGGCTGAGGGCTCTGTGCTGACTACACTCTCTGCAACTGGGCAGCAAGTCCTTCCTTGAAGGGAGATCTAGGTGACGCATCCCCTTGTCTACCACGGGTGGTGTGATAACTTGTATATGGTGTTTCAGAGTTTAGGTACCAGCTTCTTTACTATAGAACCGGGAGTCAGGAGATAAGGTTTGAGTCTTGGCTCTGTTACTTACCTTAAAGTGAAATCTTTAAGGTAATCTCTAGTATTTTTCATTTTCCCTCTGTGGGTCTCAGTTTTAACATCTGTTAGCTTGTCAGATGATCTTTATAATTCTGTGACTATTATCTATGCTGCATGGGAAGCTCTGATGCTGGGGTGCATTGAGTAAACCTATTGGTCTCACCATATTTCTCTGTGTCTGGTCATCCACCTGCCAGATTCGAGAGTTGTACAAGCAGCGACTGGATGAAGTTGAAATGTTGGAGAGGCACATCATTCAGGCTCGCGCTCGTGCTATGGCGGAGGAAGAGCGGACCATGCATGAGGCAGAAGCACAGACCCTTGAGGCCGTCAGTGTCATCAAATTGCCTCCAGGTGTGTATGAAGAACTACCTCATGTTCTTCATGTTAATATTTTGCTATATTTAATAGATTGCCCGCTCTCTAGTATTTTTCAGAACATTTTAAGAGCAAGTTGCTACTATGTTTCATCAGCACACACCAGTGTGTGAACATATCTTCAAACATGGACAGTGTCCCACATTACCAGCAAAACCAAACCAAAACAAAACAAAAAACCCCACTGCCATCAAGTCAATTCCAACTCATAGTGACCCCCATTGGGTTTCCAAGGTGGTAAATCTTTACAGAAGTAGATTGTCTCATCTTCCTTCCAAGGAGCAGCTGGTGGGTTTGAACTGCCGACTTTCTGTTTAGCAGTCACATACCTTAGTCACTGTACCACCAGAGCTCCTGTACCAGCATGCAGCCCCCCAAATCAGGAAATTAGCACTGGCATAACACAAGTCCCATTCAGATTCATTTCCTGTCAAAATAGTGTCTCTTTTTCCTTTCTGGTCCAGGATCCTATCTGTTCTGGTTACCTAGTGCCACTCTGACAGGAATATACCACAAATGGGATGGCTTGACCAAACAGGAGTTTATCCTTTTACAGTTTGGGAGGCTAGAAGTCTGAGTTCAAAGTGCCAGGCTCTAGGGGCTGGGTGAAAGCCCCCTCAACCTTGGGCTTCTGCCTTCTGCTTCCAGCCCACTGGAGCTAAAGGCTTTTCTTCACTCAGCTGCCAGCTGCTAAGGCTGACAAGCCCAGGGTTGGCAAAAGGCACAGTCCCAATGTTACCAGACCACATGGCAGGCCATCAGTTCGAGTCCACTGAAAGTCCCAAGGTTGGCAGAGCATGGCAGGGTGCTGAACAACGACGTGGCTACATGCAGGGTTCAAGCGTGCCATAAACTAGAGACTATTCCCAGTGCTGTTTCTTATTTATGGGAAGCAGACACATCCCTAAAGCAGCTACTCAGCTGCTTGTGGTAGGGCCCACCATGGACTTGATTGCCGGTCTCATCATGGGGAATATTACCAGCAGCTGCCCAATCACTCAACCAGGCCCAGCCAAGTTGACACACAAACTTAAGTACCACACTATCTAAGAATCGTGTTGCATTTAGTCATCACATCTCTTTTTTAGACTCCTTCACTGGGAATAATTCCTTGACCTTTTCCTGTCTTTCATGTTCCTGGCAGGTTTTTCATTCTGTAAGATGGTTCTGTCTAATGTTTTTTCATGATGAGACTCACACTTTGTTGGCAGGAACACCGCATCACAGTAGGAGGCATGTGTGTTTCTGACCTTGATCGTCTGATCACGTTTGTGTCTGCCATGGTTCTTTGCATTAAGTTCACCATTTTTCCTTTATAATTGATTAGTATTTTGAGGAAAGCTATTCTCAGATCACACCAATAATCTATCTCTTATCAAACCTCCAGTGACCAGCATTCATTGACAACTCTTTCTTGAATCATTCATCTCTTATGATGATTGTAATAATTTCTTCTATTTTTATCAATTGGCTTTCTACTCTCAAAAAGAGCTTTATCTGCTTATTCATCCATCCATCCATCCATTCATCTATCCATCCATCCATCCGTCCGTCCATCTGTCTGTGGAAGGAATTTTATCAGAAGGAAAGGATGCTTTGTCTCATGTGGTCTTTGCTCTTGGTTTGGAGGTTTAAATCTTATCTTTTGAGTTTTCCTAATTGAATCCTGTCATTATAGTAACTAAGCTAAACCTCAGAATTTATAAATTAACACATATAATGGGGAAAACATGTATTATTCACTTGTCTCACCTATACTCTCCAAAGGGAAGTGCCATGTAAAGGTACTGCATCATACGATAATATTGGTTAATGGAGCAAGAAAAAAGTTTGAAAACTTCCATGTCGTCTTCTAACACAATTTTTTTCCCTTAATTTTTTTTCCTTCACCCAAGTTAGTATGTGTCTACCCTCTAGTTAATGGTTTACCCTCCCTTTTCTACCCACCCTTGGTAGCCATTAAAGAATATTTATATTTTAGTGAAACCTTTTTTTTCACTTTCTACAATAGGGGTCTCATATAATATATGTCCTTTAGTGATTGACTAGCTTCAGTAAGCATAATGGGCACAAAGTTCATTCATGTTATGAGCTGTTTCACTGCTTCATCATTGTTCTTTAATGTTGCATAGTATTCCATTGTGTGTATGTACCATAGTTTGTTGATCCATTCCTCTGTTGATTGACATTTACGTTCTTTCCATCTTTTTGCTGTGGGAATAGTGCTGCAGTGAACATGGGTATGCATATGTCTGTTTGTGTTAGGGGTCTTATTTCTCTAGGATATATACTAATAATGGGATTGATGGATCATGAAATACTTCTACTTCCAGCTTTCTAAAGAAGTGCTGTACCGTTTTCCACAGTGGTTATACCGTTTTACACTCCCACTAGCAGGGTTCCAATCTCTCTCACTAGCATTTGTTGTTATCTGTTTTTTGAACTTTGCTGTTAGTGCTAGAATGAGATGCTGTCTCATTGTTGTTTTTATTTTCATTTCTTTAATTGCTAATGATAGTGAGCATTTCTTCCTGTGTTTGTTAGCTGCCTGAATATCTTCTTTGGTGAAGTGAATTTCACTGCCCATTTTTCAATTGGATTATTTGTCTTTTTGTTGTTAAGTTGTTGAGATTTTTTGTAAATTTTAGAGATTAGTCTCTTGTCTGATATGTGATTGCCAAATTTTTTTTCCCAGTCTGTGGGTTCTCTTTTTACTCTTTTGGTGAAATCTTTTGATATGCATAAGTCTCTAATTTTTAGGAGGTCCCAGTCATCTGTTTTTTCTTCAGGTGTTTGTACAGTTTTAGTTATATTCAGTAGTGTATTTATGTTCTGAATTAGGGCCCATAACTTTGTGCTGTTTTTTCTTTGATGGTTTTATGTTCAGGTCTTTCGTCTATTTTGAATTTGTTTTTGTATATTATATGAGACATGGGTCTTGTTTCATTTTTCTGCAGATGGACATCCAGTTTTGCCAGGACCATTTATTAAACAGACTGTCTCTTCCCCATTTAATGTATTTTGGCCCTTTGTCAAAGATCAGCTGTCCATAGGTGGATGAATTTACTTCTGGGTTCTTAATTCTGTTCTGTTGGTCTATGCATCTGTCATTGTACCAGTAGCAGCTGTTTTAACTACCGTGGCTGTATAGTAGGTTTTTGAGGATGTGTGAGGCCTCCTACTTTGTTCTTCTTTTTCGGTAGTACTTTACTTATCTGGGGTTTCTTTCCTTTCCATATAAAGTTGGTGATTAGTTTTTCCATCTCTTTAAAGAAAGATGATGGAACCTGGATCGGGATTGCACTGTATCTGTAAATCACTTTGGGTAGTATCGACATTTTCACAATGGTAAGTCTTCCTATCCATAAGCATGGTATTATCTTCCATTTATGTGGGTCTGTTTTGGTATCTTGTAATAGTCTTTTGTAGTTTTCCTTGTATAGATCTTTTGTGTCTCTAGTTAGATTTATTCTTGAGTACTTCATCTTTTGAGAGGTTATTGTAAATGGTGTTGCTTTCCTGATTTCCTTTTCAGAGTTCTTCATTAGTATAAAGGAATCTGACTGATTTTTGTGTTGACCTTGTACCCTGCCACTTTGCTAAAACGGTCAATGAGTCCCAATGATTTTCTTACTGCGTGTTTGGGATTTTATATGTATAAGATCATATCATCTGCATATAGTTTTACTTCTTCTTTGCGTATTTGAATGCCTTTTATTTCCTTTTCTTGCCTTAATGCTCTGGCTAGGACTTCCAATAGGAGCTCTGGTAGCATAGTGCCTAAGGCACTTGACTGCTAACCAGAAGGCTGGCGGTTCAAACCCACCAGCCACTCCTCGGAAGGAAGATGGGGCAATCTAATTCTGTAGTGATACTGCCTTGTAGTGATATGCCCTGGAAACCCGAGGAGGGGTCACTATGAGTTGGGTCAACTCGATGGCATATAACAACAACAACAAAGAATTGGGGCTAGTTATTCAATCTGCCACACCCTTCTCTTAATTCTGTTTTGTTGTAGACTTTTCCATAACAATATTTTAACGCAAATAATACCACTACACAGCTTTGCCCAATGATTGGCCTCTTTTAAGTGGCTGAGAAATATTTGCTGATTAGTTTCTTAAATCTCAGTATTGCCACAGAATTTTATTATATAGTTTAGGCTCAGAGATAAAGAAAGTTTGAGTGCAATTCTTCAGTGTCAGTCTGGTTTTAAACACCTTTATGACCTTTTCCTCCTGTGCAGTCAAGTCTATCTTCAGATGGTGTGTAGACAGTGAGTTGCTACAGAAACATCATTTGATCTGCCCAGAAGATTACTACAGTGATACAGTGCCATTTTGCTCTGCACCTAAAGGTAATGTTTCTGTACTTTCTCAGAGCCTTGATATTATTCTAGGACCACATTAGTCATCTTTGCTGCCATTTTCTTTTTCACAGGTATCTTCTCTTTTCTTTGATTTTGACTGTGACTACTAGAAAAGTCAAATCTGAACATGCCACTTCCTTATTAGTTCTCAAATACCTACAAGATAGTAGCCCTAACTTCCCCATGTGATACTCTTACCAACTGTCCAACACAAGAAGATGTGAAAATATCTTCTTGAATGAATCAAGAGAGGGAAAAACTGAAGGCATAGATAAGCAAGGGAGTAAATTCCTTATGGAAAAAGGAGGAGATAGAGACAGAACAAGAACTTAGGGATTTTCCCATTCAGGAAAAGAATGACCTTTCCTCCTTTGAGAATGGAAGGAAGAAGGAGTGGGGAAGCAGACAAAAGAGTGTGTATGTGTATGATATTGGGCCATTTTCCTTTGATATGGGAGGCAAGGTCCTCTGAGAATGAGAGGAAGGGGAGGCTATGTTCTGGGCTTAAGCAAAGAGGTGAGTTTTTGGGTGTGTCACTGTGTAGATGGTGAGAATGAACAAACTGTGGACAAACAGCAGGATTGCTTTGCAGTGCCAGACATAGAAGACTGGCTACCCAGAAGTCCCAATCTATAGGACTGTTTGGTGATCTCTAGGGATTTGGGGCTGAGAAAAGGTTTGGCTTGGGAGGATTGGGATCTAGAGAATTGAAGGTATGGATGAAAAAAGAGTTCTGATGGACTGAGCTGTGCAGGGGAGTGAGGCCAGAAAGAGGGAGCAGAATCAAGTGCCATGGGATGCTAAGCCTCTTAATATCTTAAAGTTATAATATTTTATTGAGAATTTACCAGACATTGTAATAAGATATGTGTGGTGATGCCTGTTTCATTGCATTTGGAGGATGATGTTATAGGTGTAAAAGCTAGCGCAAATTTTGATTCCTTGTGAGTTTTTAAAAAACATCTTCAGACATAGGGTATGTGTATGCACGTGTGTGTGATGATGTCTTCCATGCTCTTTGACTGTGTTGAAAAATTGAACACTTTAAATTAACAACAACAAAAAATAATTAGCATTCTAGTCCTAAGTCTTGAATACAAAGAATAAATTCCAGCAGTAGTTCATATGCTGAAGAGCAGCTACATCAGATGTAGTAAATATGAACATTTAGGAGAAATTATCAAGCTAACTGTGGTTTTAGTGGTTTATTAGTCATCTTAGAAACATCCTTCCACCTCCTCACTTTGATACAAAACTTAGTTTGTTTCCTTGGTGCCATAGGCAATTTCCTCCCAGGATGTCAAAGACTGACATTTAGTTATGAGAAACGTGCCATCTCAAATAAAGAGCTGGCCATGAGGCTTGGCATTTTATGCAGAAAGAAGCTTGCTGATACTGAGAAGTTAGACGTCAGTGTGGACAGTTTAACACAAGACTCATCTCTTAAGGATGAACACAGGACCAAGAAAACTGTCAAGGTTAGTTTTTAAAATCTGTGTACAGCAATGTGTATGGTCAATGGGGAGAAGGAGTGGTGAGGGGAAGAAGTTCAAAATGACACAAGAAGGTATGATCAATCTACAGCAAAATAGAGTAGGTTTTTTACTGGCCACCTGTGGGTCATGCAGTTGGTCACAATGTCAGTACACACAGCCTGTTTGCCTTCTGTTGACTTTATGTTTTTGTATGTTTCAAAGAAAGCAAGTCCACCAAAAAATAAAAACTGGATGAACCACTTAAGTATGCCACAGCGAGCACTGGAGCGACTTCTGCTTGCTCGAATGGAGAGTCGGAGCCGCTTCTTAAAAAATCCCCGTTTTTTTCCTCCTAACACTCGGTATGGAGGCAGATCTCTTCTTTTTCCTCCAAAGAGGCCAGAACGGATAGGAAAATTCCCAAGTGTGGTGACAGAACAGAGGTATGTCTTTCCCTGATTCATATTCTCAGAAAATCTGTGTGAAAACCAGAGGTCCTGGGTTTGGTCCAACTTATGGAGATCCCTAGACTATTAGGGGCAGGGTATCAGTATCTGAATGGAGCAGAGGCACTTACAGACACCTCTGGACATCCTAGTCCACTGTCCTGAGTTTGTGCTTTTCTGACCTGCCAGGGCCTCAGGAAATAGTGGTTGATATTGACCCTTTGCTTACATCCCAATAGACTGGTCAAATGGAGTCTCTATAGCAACGGGCTCCTTCCATTGGGTCCATATGTTTTGGATAATAAAAATGTTTAAAATTTGATTAATTACAAATAATTAGCATAAATTGTGAGGTTTTTTTTTTTTTCCTTGTGCCTTTGGCTTTATTTTAGTAATTGCTCTTATGAAGGGAATGATTGATTCATGTATCCATAATTTTAATGGACTTAAAAGTATGAGCATTTCTTTATTAGATAAATAATATATATATATTTATTATATATTAAGAACAATAGGAAACAATCTAGGTACCCATCAACAGAAAAATGGATAATTAAACTATGGTATATATACACAATGGAATGCTATGCAACTGTGAAGAATAATGCAGAATCTGCAAAACACTGCATAACATGGATGAAGTTGGAGTTCATTATGCTAAGTGAAATAAGTCAGTCACAGAAGGACAAATACTGTATTAGTTTATTATTGTAAAATGTCAAGGAAAGGTTTATATATGGAAGGAAACCATCTTTGTTGGTTACCAGGAATTGGAGGGGAGGGAAAAGAACACTACAAAACTAAGAAAAAAAAAATAAAATAGAAAACACTAATATCCAAAAAGAAAAATGACTCTGTATTAAAAACCCAGTTAACTTTTGGTATTTAAACTTCCAGAGTTTTTCCCCTGTATATTGAAAATGAAATGTATAAATACACACATCTTCAGAAAGATTTGTAACTGCTTTAAAAAAAAAAATCAACAAATGATACATTGTGAATATCTTGATGACTTGGATGTATTTATTTTTACATTAATCAGTCACTATATAGTATATCATTGTAGGGGTAAAACTAACAGCCTTTCTCTCTCCTTTTTCCCTCCCACAGTTGTGCTGATACCCCAGTGTTTCTAGCTAAGCCATCAGTTGGATTTTTCACAGATTATGAAATTGGACCAGTTTATGAGGTAGATATCTTATTTTCTTATTTTTAAAAAGCTTTCTTAAAGAATTTGTTAAGCATACACGAAACTAGGGGAAAGTCTATAATGAACTCTCCTTTGCCCATCACCAAGCTTCAACAGTTATCTACCTTCTGCAAATCTTGAATCATCTGCCATGCACACCTCTGTAACTTCTTGTGGTGTATCTGTGTGCACATATGTATATTGGAATATTTTAAGGAAAATCCTAGACATGTTATTCTTCAGTTAATACTTCATTAATTCTCTAACAGATAAGAATGAAAAAACAAACCATAATACTATTGTCACACCCAGTGATATTAGTGATGATTCCTTAATATCAACACATACCCAATCCATGTCTGATTTCCCCCATTTGTTAAAAAATGCCTAACAGTGAAAAGACTGGAATAAATGAACAAAAATTCTACAAATTATATGATTAATACATCAGATAAGGACTTAAAAAACCACAAACATAATACTATTATCACACACAACCATATTAACAGTATGGATTAATACCCAGTTCATGTTGGATTTTCCCCCATTTATTTCAGAAAAAGTCAATTTACAGTTGGTTTCCTTGAATCAGAATCCAAACAAAGTCTGCATATTGCATTTGAAATATACCTTCCTTAAGTCTCCTTAGGAGCTCTGGCGGTGTAGTGCCTAAGGCATCTGACTGCTAACCAGAAGGCTGGTGGTTCAAACCCACCAGCCGCTCTTCGGAAGGAAGGTTGGGCATCTACTTCCATAGTGATACTGCCCCAGGAACCCAAGGAGAGGTCACTATGAGTCGGATCCAACTTGGTGGCAGTGAGTTTGGTTTTTTGGTTGAAGTCTCCTTAAGTTGATAATAATTCTTCCTCCACCCTGTTTTAAAGAAACTGCAATTTCTGACATCCTGGATTTGACTAATTTCATATGTGATGACATTAAACATGTTCTTTTATCCTTTGTAGTTCCTATAAGCTTATATAGTTACAGTTAGATGGAGATGTTTGATTAGATTCAGATTTTTTTTCGGCAAGAAACAAAGTACTTGGTAGGACTGTGCATTTCTTATTGTATACCATCAGGCAGCATTATATTTGGTTTCTCCACTTTCAGTGATAAGATTGGTAAGTGGCTTCAGGTGTTAGGAGCTTGATTCATCCTTTATAGAGTTCTCCTCAATCTTTCACATAATGGTTTTAGTAAACTTAGATGATTATTACCTAGATCTCTTTCTTTCATTACGGGTTAGGAAATGGTGATTTCTAATGCTATTATTCCTTCTGCATTTATTAGCTATAATTTTCTATTAAAATAACTAACTTTTCCTCGTATTCTCTTGGCTCCTGTGTGTTTGGGTTCTTCCATTATTTCTTCTTGAAATCATAAGCATATGATCCTGCAACATCAGTAACAACAAACAAATTACGTATTGGATACATAGGTAGATATGTAAACTCAACAGATGTGGGATGATGTATGGAAGTACAATCACATGCATATTTACATTTGGCAGTGGATATACATATTTGTATGTGCTGTAACTATACCTGTGTATATAATGGAATACACAAGGGGTACAGTCAGAAAAACTTCAGAGCCATAACCAAACACCTCACTGGACTGAGTTACTGGGCTTGAGAGCTAAGGGGGACATCTTAGTCAATTGGCATGGAATGGTCCATAAAGAAAATATTCTACATCCTACTTTGTTGAGTAGTGACTGGGGTCTTAAAACCTTGTGAGCAGCCATCTAAGGTACAACTATTGGTCTCTTCATTCTGGAGCAAAGAAAACCAAAGGCTCAGGAAACAGTTATTCCAAAGCACTAATGAAGCACATGAACCACAGCTTCCACTAGCTGGAGACCAATAGTATGTGACTGTGCCCAGCTACCCTTACACACAGCTTTGACCAAGATCATGATGGAAGGTCCAGACAAAGTGAGAGAAAAACATCTAACAAAATTCTAATTCATAAAAAAGACCAGACTTACTGGTCTGATAGAGACTGGTAGAACTCTCAAGACTATGGCCCTTAGACACTCTTCAGACTTAGAACTGAACCCACTCCTGGACACCACCTTATAGCAAACAATAGGCAGGCCTATCAAGTGAACAATAACACCCACAAGGAACCTGCTTCTCGGAACATGCAACTGTATGAGACCACAAGGACAGCATTTGCCCAAAAGTAAAATTCAGAAGGCAGAAAGGGGAAGAAAAGCTGGGAGAATGGAAATGGGGAGCCCAGGGTGGAAGTGGGGAGAGTGTTGACACATTGAGGGGATTGCAACCAATGTCATGAAATAATCTATATATAAATTATTGAATGGGAAACTAATTAGCTTTGTAAATATTCACTTAAACCACAATAAAACATTTTAAAAACTCGTAAGTAAATATGTAAATATTTGAGCACCCTCCCATTTTTACTGTCCGATACAGTTGGTTTTATCTCTTAACAGTATATCCACCAGTCACTGCAGAGCAGTATATAGAGGTTTTCCTCACTGCTTTTTTCATATTCCTTCTTATGCTACCTTCTTGGGGAATCAGGTCAAAACCAGGCTTAGCAGTCATTGATTCTGCTCACCAAGGGCAAAAAACAACTTGGACTAATGATAATAATCTCTTCACAAACATGTGGATTACACTTTAGGGTTTAAGGAGTACATGCATATTCTTAGTTCTTTTCAACCATATATAGCAAAAGAGGAAGCTTTGGTGGTGTAGTGCCTAAGGCATTTGACTGCTAACCAGAAGGCTGGCAGTTCAAACCCACCAGCCAGTCCTTGGAAGAAAGGTTGGGCAATCTACTTCCATAGTGATATCACCTCAGAAACCCAAGGAGGGGTCGCTATGAGTCAGGTCCGACTTGACAGTAGTGAGTTTTAGTTTTTATAGCAAAAGAAGACAAGTATGTTAGTTCTGTTTGCTTAACATTGAAAAAAGCATTTTATTTATTCCTTGTACTGAACAGTATCGTATTCTCTTTTGGATTTCTGTGTATGGAACTTTGTATGGTCATCACACTTCAAGGAGAATTAGAGAAGTTGGCAAAGACTCCAAGAAAGGAAGCTAAAAGAATTTAATTTAGAGGTACAACAATTGGTCTGTATTTACCTGGAACAACAGAGGAAGAAGGAGAGTCACGAATAGGAGGAGGGTATGGAATATGTGGCTAAATGCCTCCATGAACAACTGATTCCTTTGTTGTGGGACCAGAAGAACTGGCAACCATTATTGAACATTTGGATCAAAGATTCTATGGAAGAATCCTGATCAAAACAGGGAAAGAACAGAACAGAATTTCAAATTCTCATGGACTCTAGACTTTCTAGAGCCATAGAGGGTAGATGAACCCCTGAAACTATTGCCCTGAGATAATATTTAAACCTTAAACCAAAAATACACCCTGAAGTATTCTTAAAACCAAACAGCAGTTCAGCTTAACTAGTGAAAAAGGTCTGCTTTGAACATTATTCTCTTTTAAGAGAAATTTATATGGGATCAAATTGAAAATAAAAACAAAATAAAACAAAAAACACTGCAATCAAGTTGTTTCTGACTCATAGTGTTCCCTCCTTGGATTTCCAAGGTGGTATGTCTATTGAAGTAGATTGCCCAGTCTTCTTTCAGAGGAGTGGCTGGTGGGTTTGAACCACCAGTCTTCTGGTTAGCAGTCAAATGCCTTAGACACTGCTCCATTACAGCTCCCCCAAACTGACAATAGCAACATGAAAGATTAGATGCGACTCTTACAGGACAGTGAGTTTAATGTTAATGAAGGAGGAACATCTCAGAAAAGGAGGGTAGAAATGATTGCACAACTCAAAGAATGTAGTCAATGTCATTAAATTGTTCATGTAGAAATTATATTTTGCTGCATATATTCTCAATAACAAAATAAATGAAGTTGAGGGAAACAAAACAAACAAACAAAAAAGGACACAAGAACCAACCTGAAAGAGCTCCCAATGGCCAAAGTTGGAACAACTCGAGCAACAAAGTAAATAATGATAGACCTCAGATAAGCAAAGCACTATTGAAGAAGAAGAACAAAGTAGGAGGTCTCACACTCCCAGATCTCGAAACCTACTGTACAGCCACAGTAGTCAAAACACCCTTGTATTGGTACAAGACACACAGACCAGTGGAACAGAATTGAGAACCTCCGCAAAATTAAATTTTTATGTGCATCAAAAGACTTCTCCAAGAGAGTGAAAAGAAAACCTACAGGTTGGGAAAAAATATTCAGTAACGACATTCCTCACAAGGGACTTACCTCTAAAATTTATCCGACATCTCAATATTAAAAAGACAAGCAATCCAATTGAAAAACGGGCAGAAGACATGGATGGACACTTCACCAAAGAATATATTCAGGCAGCCAATGAACACAGGAAGAAATGTTCACAATCATTAGCCATTAGAGAGATACAAATCGAAACAACAGTGAGATCTCACCCCAGCACTAATAGCAAAGTTCAACAAAATAAAAAATAACAAATGCTGGCAAGGATGTGGAGAGATTGGGACTCTCGTACAGTGATGGTGGGACTGTAAAATGATACAACCACTGTGGGAATCAGTACGGCGATTCCTTAAAAAGTTGCAATTAGAAATACCATTTGATCCAGCCATTCCATTACTAGATACATATCCTAAAGAAGTGAGAGCCAGGACATAAACAGATAGGTGCATAGGTGCACACCCATGTGCATCACAGCACTATTCACAATAGCAAAGAGATTAAACAACATAAGTGCCCATCGACAGAAGATTGGATAACCAAACAATGATACATACATACAATGGAATACTAGGTGACACTAAAGAATAATGTAGAATCTGCAAAACACCACATAATATGGATGAACTTGGAGCACATATATTAGTTCACTATTGTAAAAAGTCAAGGAAAGGTTTATGTATGGAAGGAAACTTTCTTTGTTGGTTACCAGGGATGGGGGGGACACTGTTAACTACGTAGAGACAGTATTG